GAGGGGCCTGGACCTGTGTCCTGGTAAGTGAAGGGGGCGCGGGGAGCTCTGATTTTTCCATGGTAAAAAAACACAAAATCAAATAGCAAAATATATAGGTATTTAGAATGTATTTTATTATGGTGATTGAGGCACTGGTAGGCTTCCATATTGCTTTAAAATTGTAAATATATCAGTAAAGCATTGTGTACAACTGATACCTGTATATATAGTGGTGTTTCATTTTGATCGCAGATTTGGGGGGGTTTTATCACAGAATTTACATTTTTATCAGAGAAAACCAGCATCCTTGCTGGTCATCAGAAGTATGTGAATACCCCCACTTCCAATTCAAGGGGGTCCACACCTCCATTCAAAATTTCCAAAGAGGACCCACCTCCATTTGAAACTTTTTAGGTGTCTGCAAATGAAGAAAAGGTTGACAATCACTGATCTAGAGCGAAAGAAGGTCCTGATCTCAAAACCTTATATGGGCAGATGTCCATTGAAGTTAGTTGGGACCAAGGCACCATAAGCATGTCTAACAACTATGTATACATTTTTATTTTAAAAAAAACTTTGTAAAAATATGTATTCTCTATTATTGCTTCAACTTTAACCCCCAAATCACCCTGTAGAGTTAAACTAGAAAGGGAGGATGGATTTGTGGCCCTCACTTTATAGTATAAAAAGAAAAGAATGACTTTTTTAACTCTCTGCAAGGGTCTAGTCTCCTTCCTACTGTCTCTGTAGAAGCATCAGCAGTGTCAAATATTATCTTCCATTTTGTTATGCTTTGTTGCAGGACAAAAAGGATAACTGATATATGAGCCTTTAACTGAAAGAACTCTTTTAACAGTGAAAGCTCTTCTCCAAAATGTGTTAGGCTTTGTCTGTACAAGTGGAGGTTTATTTTTAGCCCCCTTCCTATTCCCTGACACAATAAATAAATAAATAAATAAATAAAAATAAATCTCAGTGGTGTAATGTCAAAGTTGTAGCAGTGGCATTATAGTTTAATAGTTTCATAGTTGGTAGGGTCGAAAGGGACCTGAGCAGATCATAAAGTCTGACCCCCTGCCATGGCAGGAAAGAGTACTGGGGTCAAACAATACCGGCAAGGTGTTCATCTAGCCTCCTCTTAAAGACCCCCAGGGTAGGAGCCAGCACCACTTCCCTTGGAAGTTGGTTCCAGGTCCTAGCCACCCTGACAGTGAAGTAGCGCCTCCTGATATCTACCTCTGCCTCTTGCCACTCCCGGGAGTGCTCGGGGGAACAGGGACTCTCCCAATGCCTGCTGGTCCCCCCCCGACTAGTTTGTAAACGGCCACTAGATCCCCCCTCAGCCTTCTCTTGTGGAGGCTGAACAGGTTCAGGTCCCTTAACCTCTCCTCGTAGGGCCTGCCCTGCTGCCCCCTGATCATGCGAGCGGCCCTCCTTTGGACCCTCTCAATGCTGTCCACATCCCTCCTGAAGTGCGACGCCCAGAACTGGACGCAGTACTCCAACTGCAGCCTGACCAGTGCCGCATAGAGGGGGAGGATCACCTCCTTGGACCTGCTTGAGATGCATCTGTGAATGCATAACAAGGTACGGTTGGCCTTCCTGACCGCGTCCCCACACTGTTGGCCCATGTTCATTTTGGCATCAGTAATGATTCCAAGGTCCTTAGGTCTAGTGTAGCTGAGGGTCCCATGGCCAGCAGTCTTTTTAATGTTGTTTAGACCTCAGAGAAAGATCATTTAACAACCGTGGTTCTTTCCACCATTTACCTTACACCTGGATTCCCACAAATTCAGTAACATCAAGAGAAGCAGTGAGAAACTTTAGGGAAGGGAGGTAGTGAGTGGGGAATCATGTGGCCAAGTACAGTGCTCTCAGGCACCACAGACCTAAGTACTAATGTAAAAATAAATTTACATTTTTTTCATAAGTTTTCAATGCCCACTTTTGTTTTCCTTTGTCAGTCACCTTCAGAGTTTTATTGTTGTGTATTAATTGTTTAGTGAAGTCTAGAAAGACATTCTAATTCCTTTGCTTCATGCTGCATTTCTCTGCCATCTTCAAAATCTTCCTTGTAGCATGGCAGCATATTTGGCTTTCAGTTCATATAAACAATTTTTTTTTCAGTGATCTTCTGTGAACACACCAAAACATTATTGTCCTACTACTTTTTGTTATTACCTGGCCCTTAGCTTCATTTTTAATGTTTCCCCTCTTTTGCTAGTTTTTACCTATTAGTGAATCAGTTCACTGCTCCAAAATGGTCTGGGATGCTTTTGTAGATCAATGCCTTGTGCAGAACCGAGTCTGAAAAGCTTTTATGGGATTGAGGAAAGCCTTAATTCATCAAGTTAGTTTTTAATTTGTTAGGAAAGGCTTTGCTTCAGTAAAGATGTTTAGGCTGTCTTCTCATATCAGATGTACTTAATTTGCACCTATGCTGGTTGATATGGGGTGGGTAATCTGAGAAGTTTAAACAAAAATAACGTTCCATGTAGCATGTAGACCACTGAAGAGCTGTCCTCCAAGGCATAAATATATGCAGACAAAATGAGACTGACTGAGTACTTGTTTACTCTGTTTGTATAGCATAGGGACTTTCTCTTTATTTTGTGACTGATCTTAATTATTGGTTTATTTTGTTCAGGTGCCTAAGCCCAATACAGTTGTTTCTTTGAATAGATAATTTTAATGAGACAGTCCACCTATAAACTTAGTTTGCCAATCTTTGTTACAAATAACCCATTCAGATCTCCAGGATTGCAATCTAATCAGGGTAGGGACATTTTATACTGAATAGTTAGTCTACCCTTTGGACATTAAGTCAACACATACTTTTTCTGGATTTCTTTTATTTAAGTAACGTTACAGCTCCTTTTTCATGCTGAGAATTTCTGCATTAAAAATTATGGGTAGCTATACAGGATTCAAAAGAAATATACCTTTTTGTTGCCAGTTTTTACAGGGTAGTAAAGTTTTCCTGGGTTTCTTAAACTCCTTTTAAAAATAACATTCATAATTAGATCATTTTGGCAGATAGGCTGGTGGGTTGCTTTTGTGAAATGAGCTGCTCTTTCTATGAAAATGTAATGAGTACATTTCAGAAGAATAACATCAGTATATCAGTTTGTTTGAACTGCAGGTTTAAACATATCAATCTGTAGTTAATCAGTAAATCACTCTAGTTAGTTCAGTGTTTTGTTTATGAACCACCATAATGTGCCAGATTCCTGTTTTGTAATCCAACACGAGATTAATCTGTTTGCATGGAAATAATATTTGCATTTGACCCTAAAAAAGTTCAGAAAACAAAATGATTTTTTTTGTGGACCCGGGCAACTATAGGCCAGTCAGTCTCACCTCCATCCTTGGCAAAGTCTTTGAAAAAATTATCAAGGCTCTCATTTGCGAGAACCCGGCAGGACAAATTATGCTGAGGGAAAACCAGCACGGTTTCGTGGCAGGCAGGTCGTGCCTGACCAATCTAGTCTCTTTTTATGACCAGGTTACGAAACGCCTGGACACAGGAGGAGGGGTGGATGTCGTATACCTAGACTTCAGGAAGGCCTTCGATACAGTATCCCACCCCGTACTGGTGAAAAAGTTAAGGGGCTGTGACTTGGATGACTACACATTCCGGTGGGTGGCGAATTGGCTGGAGGGTCGCACCCAGAGAGTCGTGGTGGATGGGTCGGCTTCGACCTGGAAAGGTGTGGGCAGTGGGGTCCCGCAGGGCTCAGTCCTTGGACCGATACTCTTTAATGTCTTCATCAGCGACTTGGACGAGGGAGTGAAATGTACTCTGTCCAAGTTTGCAGATGACACAAAACTGTGGGGAGAAGTGGACACGCCAGAGGGCAGGGAACAGCTGCAAGCAGATCTGGACAGGTTAGACAAGTGGGCAGAAAACAACAGAATGCAGTTCAACAAGGAGAAATGCAAAGTGCTGCACCTAGGGAGGAAAAATGTCCAGCACACCTACAGCCTAGGGAATGACCTGCTGGGTGGCACGGAAGTGGAAAGGGATCTTGAAGTCCTAGTGGACTCCAAGATGAACATGAGCC